CTTCTTCAGTTTGGCAAGTTCTGCTCCATTTTTTTTCAGGACATTGATTTCCTTGTACATTTTCTCTTTCAGGTCCTGTATACTTTTCCTCATTTCATCATGATGTCTAGCTGAGTTTTCTTGTATCTCATTCAGTTTCCTTAGAATTATCACTCGAAATTCCTTGTCAGTCATTTCAAGGGCTTTTTGTTCTATTGGATCTAGACCTTGAGTGTTATTATCCTTTAGTGGTGTACTTTCTTGATTTTTTGTATTTCTGGTATCTTTTTTTTTTTTTTTGATGTTTATTCATTGTGGCAGGGGGTTTCACAGTCCACAGGTTTGACACTATTGACTAACTAAGATGTTGCTGTGGTTGCCAATTTGGTATGGCTACCTCTGTGACTGCTGAGTTGGCCTCTAGTGTCTTGTGTGTCTGGTTGCCTCGCGTCTTGGGCCTCTCCGGGGAGCCATCTCTCTGGTCAGCTTGGACTCTGCTGGGCTGCTGGATCACAAGGCATTACCGCAGGGTGTGTGGTCTCTGCTGAGCTTCAACCTCCCGTGCAGGACTTCTCCCTGTTCCATGCACTCTGGCCTGGGCTGCTGGGATGCACCGATGCACCGCAGAGCGTGTGGTCTTTGCAGAGCTTCTCCTTTCCCTTCAGGATGTCTCCCTGCTCTGTGCGCACTAGGCCTGGCTTGGGATGAAGCCAGGTGGCGGCAGTGAAGCCTACCTGCTGCTGGATCATGTGGCAGTGGCCCCCCCACAGGGCGTGTGGACTCTACGGAGCTTCTATCTCCCTTGCTGGACGTCTCTGTGCTCGGTACACATTGGGCCGGGCTGCTGGATCGCACAGCAGCAGTGTGGTCCCCGTGGAGTTCCCGCCTCCCCTGCCGGACGTCTCCCTTCTCCGAGCGCACAAGGCAGGGCTGGGGATGGAGCCAGGTGCCTTCGGTGAAGCCTAGCTGCTGGATCACACAGTGGCGGCCCCACAGAGTGTGTGGTTTCTGCCGAGTCTCCACCTCCCTAGCCAGACGTCTCCCCACTCTGTGTGCACTGGGCTGGGCTGCTGGATCACGCAGTGGCGGCCCCACAGGGTGTGTGGTTTCTGCCGAGTCTCTGCCTCCCTTGCTGGACGTCTCCCCACTCTGTGCGCACTGGGCTGGGCTGCTGGATCACGCAGTGGCGGCCCCACAGGGTGTATGGTTTCTGCCAAGCCTTCCCCTCCCTTGCCGGATGTCTCTCCACTCTGAGCGCATGGGGCTGGGCTGGGAATGGAGCCAAGTGGTGGCAGCGAAACCTATCTGCCGGATCGTGTGACGGCGCCCCGCAGGGCATGTGGTCTCTGCAGAGCTTCTGCCTCCCCCACTGGACGTCTCCCCGTTCCATATGCATTTGTTGTTATGTTTTTATAGTTTAAATCAGTTGATTTGTGGGAGAGAGTGACGCTAGGGACCGTCTATTCTGCCATCTTGACCGGAAGTCAGGGAAGTTTCTTTATATCCTGGTTTATTATATGTTTTTATCATGAAATGTATTGGATTTTGTCAAATGCTTTTTCGATATCAGTTGAGATAATCTTGTGTTTTTTTCCTTCATTCTATTAAGTAGTCTATTAGACTGATAGTTTTTCATATGTTGAAGCTCTCTTGCATTCCTGGGATAAATCCCAGTTGGCATGGTGTATAACCCTTTAAAAATGTTGCTTGATTTGGTTTGCTAGTATTTTGTTGAGGATTTTTCCATCTATATTCATGTGGGATATCGGTCTGTAATTTATTATGTTGTCTTTTCCAGTTTTGGTATCAAGGTAAGGCTGGCCTTGTATAATGAGTTAGGAATAGTTGTGTTTTTATTTTTGAGTTGTAAGGTTTCTTTTATTTATTCTGGATACAAATCTCTTATGATAAATATTATTTTCAAATGTTTTCTTCTAGTCTGAGGGTTGTCTTTTCACTTTCTTGATGATAATTTTGAGGCACAAAAGTTTTTAATTTTTTTTTTCCTTTTTGTCTTTTTTTCGTGACAGGCAACGGATCGCAACCCTCAGTGTCGCGCCTGTACCGGACCGGGACCGGCTACGGGATCGCAACCCTCGGTGTTGCTCCCGCACCTCGCTCAGCCAGTGAGCGGCCGGTCTGTATGCAGGATCCGAACCCTCGGCGGGAGCGCCACCGCACTTCCCAAGCAGCACACTGTAGCAGTGCGCCACCGGGCCGGCCCAAAAGTTTTTAATTTTGATAAAGCCCAACTTACCAATCTTTTGTCTCTCTCTCTCTTTAAAAAAAATCTTAATAGAAGAAACATTCGATCTTCACTCTTATCAATTGTGTTTTTGGTGTCCTCTCTAAGAAATCATTGTTTAACCCAAGATCATAATGATTTTCTCCAGTATTTTCTTTTAAGAGTTTTATAGGTTTTAGTTCTTACATTTAGATTTATAATCCACTTTGAGTTAATTTTTGTGTATGATGTAATGCAGATGTCCATGTTCACTCTTTTGATATTCCAGTACCATCTGCTGAAAAGATTAATCCTTCCCCATTGAATTGTCTTGGCTCCTTTGTTAAAAATCATAAATGTTGGGTTGCATGGTATATTTTTGCTCTTACTTGGCATTCTTCCCTGCTATTTGCTTCCCACGCTGGTCTGATTCATTGTGCTTTGTGCCTCATTGGTCTTTGTCTTTTATTTCTAGCCCTCTGCTTATTTCTTATATTTGATCACAAATTTAACTTTTCCTTTTCAACCTTTAAGTACCTGCTACTGCTATGGTTTGAATGTTTGTTCCCTCCAAAACTCATGTTGAAACTTAATCCCAATGTGGCAGTACTGAGAGGTGGGGCTTCTAAGAGGTGGTTGGGTCATGAGGGCTCTCCTCTTATCAATGAATTCATCCATTCATGGGTTAATGGATTAATGGGTTATCACTGGGGTGGGACTGGTGGCTTTATAATAAGAGGAAGAGAGATTTAAGTTATCATGCTCAGCCCCTTGCCATGTGATACTCTGTGCCACCTTGGTACTCTGCAGAGTCCCCATCAGCAAGAAAGCTCCCACCAAATACGGCCCCCTGACCTTGGACTTCCCAGCCTCCAGAAATGTAAGAAATAAATTTGTTTTCATTATAAATTCTCCAGTCTCAGGTATTCTGTTATTAGCAACAGAAAATGGATTAAGACAAACCCCTTAAGCCTTAAGTTGCAGGCATCCTTTGATGCTCATACTCCAAGCTCCCCAAGCTAGTCTGTTACTTGACCATCACTCCTGCCATGCTCATCCTAAAGCTATGGAGGGGGAGGTGGAAATTAGATATAGAGTGTGAATCAGGAGATAGTGTTCAGGCCCATTCAACCTCTCAAAGAAAATATGCCATCTTGGAAGAGTCAATATATGCTAGGAGAACATGCTGTTTGATGTAAAATATTCACATGTAAATGATAAGCTGCCTGAATTCATTTATACCACACTTTGATTTTATTCCCACTTCTCACTTCCTTTTTTTGTCACCAACCACTGGGCCTGTTCTTTTTTTTTTTTTAAAGATGACCGGTAAGGGGATCTTAACCCTTGACTTCGTGCTGTCAGCACCACGCTCAGCCAGTGAGCAAACTGGCCAGCCCTATATGGGATCCGAACCCGTGGCCTTGGTGTTATCAGCACCACACTCTCCTGAGTGAGCCACAGGCTGGCCCTGGGCCTGTTCTTTATTAATGCTTCTACCTATCCTGCTCTAGGTTGACTCACAATTGAATTCTCCAGCACTGTGACTCTGACTCCACCTCCTGTTATTTTTGTCCCTTGTGGCTCATCAATTCTACCAGTAGGTTTAGAGGTAACACTCCTAACAGGCCCAAATTCCCAGGAATTCCTCTCTTGTTGCAGTATTCTAGAAGCTGCCCTGGATGTCTTATCCCTCCATTTACTTTACAAATTAAGGCTTATTATTTGCCTCCAGTTGAAATTATATTAAGGAGCCAAATGAAGCATAAAACATATGTATATTGAGATGTTTCAACAAGCCTTTAATGGGGAATAGAATTCTTCCAATGCTAAAATAACCATAAAAGTGAAAACTTAGTTCTGGAGGAATAAATAATGCTATACATAATGGGAACAGCAGGGCTACCAGAAAAAGAAGTGCTAAATACCCCCTGACAGAAAATTATATCAGGACTCACCTCTTTGGAAGAATGTGCTTATCATGAATGCAAAGAAAATTGTGGCAATGGCAAAACACATTAGAAAAACAAATATCAAACTAGGGTCACTGTTCTTGAACACTGCCACATTTTCCACCTACAAAGCAATCACAGATGTACATGATTTTCACGTGGAAAGAATGAGGAGAAAGCATAAAGAACCCTTAAAACAATGCAGAAAACATTTTCAAAATTCAAGATTATCGTTAAACAATATATAAAGATTTTTAAGGCAGACCTTTGGTCCAGCACCAATTACCATTTACAAATTAGGTTCCACACATGTATCTTTTGGGGAAAGCAAAGTTTGGATTTAACTTTCAACCCAATGTGAATATTTCTTTCTTTTATTAAGTGAGTTTATCCCATTTGTTATTATCACTATTACATATAATTTTGGTATTCCTTTTGATATCTTATATCTTTTCTTTTTGATGATTTCTGGCCATTTCCTTTGTTTTATATATTTTGCTATTTAGTCTGGGTTTTTTGCCTTCTATTGTCCAAACTGCCTCAATTTTGGTAATTTAGAAAGCAATTTTTCATATATCCAAATAGTGGTTTATAATTTAGTCATTAAATGTAAGTTGGCAAATTTTAACATCAAATTCCATTGACAGCTTAAAAGAAAAAATCGCAAGATACTATGGACATAAAAGAATGTTCTTATCTTTTACAATAACTATTTTCAACTATTTGTTGAGTATAAAATTTGTAATGTTTTAAAGTTTATAAAACACATTTTTTGGCATTCCATTTTACTAAGGAAATTAACTATACTCGTGTCCAGTATTTAAAGACCAGGCAAAGCTCTCCCAGATCCTAAATGCTTAATTCCCCAAAGTTTCAGTGAGTACCACCACAAGTCAAACTGAGGTTTTCAAGGTGATCTTCAATAACTGTCTTTCCATCACCTATTAAATCTCAGCACCACCATGCATACCACACCAAATTTCTTTCCCATCTATTCAAAGCTTAGCACATCCTAAAGGACAAGAGACATGTACCTCTGTGCAGAAGAGAATGGTCATTAAAGAAACAGCAATGGAGACAGAAATGAGGAACATGATGAACCAAGCAACCCAGTGTAGCCAGCTGTCCAGTCCCATCATGCACATGTACTCCTAGAAAAAGCAAAAGAAGCAGATATTATGCAGTCCAATGCTCAGTTCTAGCTTGTCTGGTTCAGCAGTGTGTTACTGAAACCCCAGCAGACTGGGGTGAAGAGTTGTGTGTGTACTGGGGAGAGGAGAATAGTGGGGAGTTATGAAGACTTGGTTGTAAAGAGAAGCCTGTGAAGCCTTATCTGGTCACCTTTGCCCATCTTCCACACAGCCATAACACCTGTATGTTCCATTGCCTTTGCACCTGGAATTCTTTTGTAACACTTGGCTTTACTGCTGTGAATTGCCTGAGGGAAAGGACTGTGTCATCTATATCTGTATCTCTAATGCACATGCCTGGTTAATATGTCAATCAATGTTTTGAGAAGTGAATAAATGCAAAGCTCTATGCTAGGTATACCATGCAAGAAAAATGAAGATATATAAAAGGACAAGGTATTGCCTTCCAAAAGTTCACCATGTGGTACTGGAGACACATATATGATAATAATACTGTATATGCCACACTGTAAGTACAAGGGTAGACTTTTTACCTTTAAGATTGGAACTAGTAGTAAGTTGATTAATCAAAAACAAGTTGGTTAAAGAAGGGGATCACGGGCTGGCCCGGTGGCGCACTGGAGAGTGCGCCGCTTGGGAGTGCGGCGGCGCTCCTGCCGAGGGTTCGGATCCCATGTAGAGACCGGTTCCTGCTCACTGGCTGAGCGCAGTGCAGGCGCAACACCAAAGGTTGCAATCCCGTTACCGGTCAGTAAAAAAGACAAAAAAAGGAAAAAAAAAAAAGAAGGGGATCACAAAAATGATACACACATACCTTAAATTTTTATTTTCACTTATAGCATATGAATGTATAATGTGTGCTGGTATTCTGATATCAGAACACAAATTCTTCTTTTGAAGCATGGGCCTGCTCATTGGACTAAAGTGTAATGCCCACCCATAAGGCACACCCCATGATCACTGTCTTGAAAGTGGACTGAGGACATAAATACAGGTGTGATGCAACCTAGTAAAGACCCACCTAGGTTATTATATTTTTTTCTCCAAATTTTACAGTGGTTTCACCCACGCGAAATCTATTAGCATGTTTTTTAGAGATTTGCATTGCCAAATCTTTCCAAAGAACTCAACTAAACTTTCAAAGGCAATTCTAGTCCACTTCATCCATTTATATAATATTTAATTAAATCACAAATTATAAGAACAAGTACAGATATAAAGAGATTTAGGAACAAACCTCCATAAGGATACAACTCAGCAGATAAGAGGAGATAAGCCCACGTTTATTAGAGAGAAGCCTACCAGCTGCAGTGTGCTGAGAGCACCAGTTCCAAAGTTTTACAGAGGGGATGGAGTGTCAGTTCATTTTGCCAGAAACCAAAGTTCCAGGTTCGGGTACCCAATGCTCAGCAAAATCAAACACTGAAACACGGGGCTTGGAGATAAAGGTTTATTCAAATTGTAATGGCTAGATTCCTTGTCCTTTTAAATTCCTCTCTTTTAAATCCTTGTTTTTACCTTTGATTTAATTGTGTTAGCTAATATTTGCCGGCATGTAAGTTTTATCTGGAGTGTGTTAAGGGTTAAACAGCTAAATGCATTTCTGCAATCTGTAGCTCTGTGGTCACAAGCTTGTTCTTGTGTTAGCAAAAAAAACCACAGACTGCTAGCTCTTTCCTGAGTAGGTGAGAGACAAAGTTGCTCTCTAAAGCAGACCCCTTCTCAGGTAACCACACTTCCTGCCCTTGCACCCAGGTGTGATAAAGACCCTTACTCAAAACCATGTACCCACTGTATGGAAACAGTCTCGCTCCTTGACCACACTTCCTGTTGTTGTGCCCAGCTGTAAAATGGTTGAGCCAGCTGCAATCAGCCCCTTACCCAAAGTAACCACTTGCTTAAGACCCCTAATATGGGGGACTCTTCCTGAAGACAGGCAGAAGAGCCAATAGAAGTGCTTGCTGCTTACTTACCCAAGGAAAGTATAAAAGCTTAGTCCCCCTTGTAAACGGGACTCTGGGCTTTGGAATTCTAATCCTCCTGAGTCAGCCAGCTTAATAAACCTGTGTTCTCTGGCCTCTCTGAGTGACTGCGTTTTCTCCGCAACACCTTTCGGTAACAAAATTGGCCAAAGCAAGAAGATAGGCAAGATCAAGTTTTTCTGATCCATCTTACCATAAAAACAGAAAGCAAGGGGATTTATGGAGCTAAGAGGTAAGGGAGGGGAAGTCTCGAGGAAGTCAAGGGAAAATCTGTTTTCTCCAGATGCCAGATAAGATCTTAAGTAATCATGCTCCTTGGTGCCCCTGGCAGCTGGAGCTGAGTCATCTGGTGGCTGCAACTTCTTTGAGAGCCTTCATTCTCTTCCTGCAAAATAAACTTATAAATTCTCCCTGTAATCTTTGGGTGCTCTCTTCCAGCTTGATGGAAAACCGGACATCAACTTATATTACAGGAACAAGGGGTACTGGGAAGGAAGTTAACAGCTATCAGCAAGCAAAAGTTTAACTAACACTCACATCATTAATTTCCAGCCACTATTAAATTTTAAACTATTGAAATTTCAGAGGGCTTGTAGGCTTCAGTTACATGAGATCAGTTAAGAAAGCTCCAACTATACTATGACAGACGGGGAAACAACATGCTATGGGAAGACAGGATGAAAGACTGATGAAATTTAGGAAGTCTTCTTGAAGGAAGTGAACCAAGTATGAATTTTAAAGTAGAGGGCATTCCAAGCAGAAGGCCCACCTACAGGGGGGCAGTATAGCTGGCACCTGTGTGGGGAACAGAAAAGGGACCTAGTCAACCAGAGCAAAGAGCCTTTGTTGAGGAGGGGTGAAGGGTGATACAGGTGGCTTCTCAATTAAAGACAATCCATTTTACTTCTCCTCAACCCATCCACATAGTCAGACTATATCAAAACTAGATCAACACAGGGCGTTTAAGAGGGAAGAGAGTTCTACTAGTCGTATTCAGTGTTGAAAAAAGAAAATGATGCTAGTTCCTCCTCCCCTCCCCACATTATCCCACCTCAGTCACAGGTACAAACACTGTCAGGGCATTCTCCTTCATGGAATAGATTCCATATTAATGCCTCCTCTGGAAGATAACTTACCTGCTCCTGAGTCCCTGCCAAGGAAGAGTTGAAAAGTTTGGGTTGGGTCTCAGGACATCATCTGACTAGAAAGAAGAAGCTGACCACATCAATCCTATGAGCGTCCAGGGCTAAAAGCTTTTCTAGAACTCCCCAATGGACTATCTTTTCCAGACTATGTACCCAACAGAAACGGAGCATCTCCCTCTCTGGCATATTTCATCTAAGATTCAACTTTGAGAAGCTAAAGCTTAATTATTGGAAAACTGGTTTACTTTGCTTAGGGAGAGGTACTCTTTACCTGGAAATGAAAACTGTTTTTCATGGCTGAGTTGTATAGTCCCATACTAAGTTATCTTGAAATCGTTAACTTCGCTATGCCTCAGGTTACCGCCATTGCTAAATAAGAATAATAGTAGTAGTTTTCTCATAGAATTGTGTATCAGTCAGGGTCCCTAAAGGCAACATCTGTCACACTCAAGTTAGAATAATTCAAGGTGGGTTTGTTTCTAACAGGCCCAATTACAAATGTGTACACAGGGACAGAAAACCCTACAGGACAGTGCAGAAACCTAGGGCTAGCGGCAACAGAGTTATTACTCTCCCTGGGCCCTAAGAGTAGAGAAAGAAGAGAGGTTACCAGAAACCAGAAGAGGAAAGGGTCTTGTAGAGCAAGACATCTTGAAAGTACAGGAACAACCCGAGCCCAAAATGACTCGTAGGGAGCGAGCCAGGGGTCAACACCAGGACCTCATCCTCCTACTTCCTCCCTCTGAGGTCCCACCAGGCTCTTGGGGGAAGCATGTGCTGGAATCCCCACAGGTCAGCCTTCAGGGCAGAGAGCAAAGTGGAGAATGCTGAAGGGTGGATCTGGAGGGACACACACAAGATTTCAGCAAAAGCTGTTAAGGGGGGAAATGAATCCACGTTTGTAACAGCACTTCCGTGAGTGCCCAGCACACAGAAAGTAGTATATGCAAATGCTATTAAACCAACGAACAACAGGGTTTATATAATTTTGCTTTGGTTGAATTTTGTTTCTTGAGCTATTCTAATTTTTTTCTTTTAGAAGGAGAGGTGATCCTATTCACATTTATTATTATAACTGCCACGTCTGGTCTTCTGCTATCTTTTTTTGGGGGGGGTATTTATTTATTTATTTTGCTTTTGTCATCTTTTTAAAAATTGAATCATAATTGATTATACATATTTTTGGGATTCAATGTTGACATATGTTGATCAAATCAAAATTACTAGTATGTATATTGTTACAAATTGTACTTATTCTATATGTCCCTTGTCCAATCTCTCCCTATCCCCCTTTTCCTCCCCCCTCCCACCACGGATAACCCTAGATTTCTTCTCTCCCTCTGAAAGAGTAATGGTTATTCTGTCAATTTGTTGCCTTGATGATCTGTCTAATGCTGAAAGGTGTATTCAGGTACCCCAATATTATCATAGAGCAGATGCTTATTCTGTCACTCTGGAATGGGATTTGTGGAGAGAGACATCCTATTCTTTTCTTTGGTCTCTGCTGGTTACCCTCCTTGTGTCAATGCACTCCAGTGGCTGATGGACCATCTGCGTGGTGGTTGTGACATCTAGCCACTTTTATGGCAGCTGTGGTTACTGTGGTGGCTGTGGTGGGCCACCCACATGGAAGTGATGTTTTTGGCATGCTCCTTGGTGCTGGTGGTGTCCCTGGTTGTGGGTGGAGGGGTCTGGTCCCCAACTCCATGCCTTAGGTCCCCTGGTGGGCCCCAAGGCACTGGTGGTGTGCCTGGGCCAGAATTAAGTTTTTGTCTTTTGCTTACTTCTAAAATGGGGGAACTTCCTGTGGGAACCAGTACTTGAGCTGTGTGGTTGAGCTAAATTGCTGCTTTCCTGCTGTTTCCCTAGGGAAGACTTTTTGTGCAGCTCAGGGTTTAATGGTTGACCCTATAGGTACTTCCGGTTCTCCAGAGACCAGGTGCACCTGGGTTGTGTAGACCCTGATCTGGGCCTGAGTCTTTTCATCAAACTCACCCCATGCAATTCTGCATTTCTGACCAGTCTCTTCTGAGTGGTCCTGCCCTGATTGGGGGACGGATCAGCTGTCTTTGCTGTGTCCCAGTGTTCTCCCAGTGGGCCCGTCTTCCCCATCACCTGTGCTCCAAATACTTCTCATGGGACAGGCCCTGTGCAGGTCCCTTGTGATGACTCACCAGCCTCTGAATGGCTCCCCTTTTTCAGCTTCTCTGGGTCCTCACTCCTGCATGGGTCCACAGGAACCCTATTAGTGGTCTTGCTGTCCCAGAGGCCACCAAGGCCCTCTTCTCCCCTGCCACCTCCAAGCAACTCCATCTGAAGGGCACAGCTGTGGCTTCTGCTGGCTCCTGCTCCATGCACTCAGCAGTTCCAGCCTTAAAGCAGCCATGGCACGAAATGCTCTGAGCAGTTTTTTCTTTCTCTCATCATGGCTTCTCCCTCTTCATGAACTCCATAGGTCTCTAGTCCTCTTCCCCTTAGCTCCAGCAGCCCCAGCTTGGCTGTTGTTACATTTTTACAGTTGTAAATTGGTTGATTTGTGTGAGAGAGTGATGCTGGGGACCATCTATTCTGCCATCTTGACTGGAACTGAAACACCTCTGCTATCTTGTTTAATACTACACTTTCTGTTCCATTGCTTCTTTGTGATTTCCTGTCTTCTGACTTTCAGTATATGGACTATATTTTCTTTCTTTTAATTTTCTCCAGTGTTTTAAAAGTTATATGTCCTGCTTTTAAGCTGAAATTTCAGAGGGCTTCCAAGGATTGTCGTTATTTTTTAAAAGTTTTTCAAAAGTGTTCTTTAACCTACGTTTAGGTTGGTCTAAAGAGCAGACTCAAGTGTGAAATAGGAAACACACAACCAGTTCAATGACTGAAGTGTAAACATGTGATGCCCCCCACCACTCTCCACCAGTTTTTTGCTGAAATAATTTAACAAACAGGGAAGGTAAAGCTCTATCCCATGCCTGGGAACTAAAAGGGATTCCAACAACACACCGGAAGCTCCTACTCTCTGGGGCAGAGTGGGGTGGAAGGGCCTGCCAGTTACCCCCTTGTCCCACATCATCCACCACAGTAGAAAAGTCCCCCTGCCTTCCCACCACGTCAGAGCAAAGCCAGTGCAGCCTGCAGGCAGTCTCAGGAGGCAGCCTCAGTTAGTGCTGGTTCCTTACGACTGACTACACATCCGCAAGAAGACAAAGCAGACCAGGGAAGTTAGATCTTCATCCTTAGACATTGTCAGTAAGGCCAAGCAAGGCTAAGGGAGACACAGGAAGGTATTTAGTATATAGTCATGAGAATCAATTAAAAGAAGAAGAAAATTAAGAAGTGAGAAAAAAATTTTCAAAACAGCAGAAAACGAGGAGAAAAGAGAAGTAACAGGAGAGAGCAGGAAAAAAAGAGTGCAGAAATTAGGGTAAAATCAATGACTTCAGGTGCAACTCAGCAGAATCGATCTGCCTTAAGCCATGTTTTGCTAGAGAACACCTCCTGTCCACCTTACCGCGAAACCAGAGTGAGTTAACTGTGGTGATCATTCCCCAGATGTTTACCAATTAGCCATTCCCCAGCATCTTCTGAACACCTACCTATGGGAGGCAATGTGCTAGCCAACCAGGAACTGCTAGGCTGGACACTCCCAGGCTAGAAGCAAGGATTCATGTAGAACAACAGGTGGCACCACCTAGACCATGAGCAGGTTAATATTGTGTAAGACTTCCAAGTTCCGACTCACCCTAGATGTCTCTCTGACACCTAAGCAACCTCTTACCTGCTTAGGCCTCCTTCCTACTCTGGCCATTTTTCATTAGTAGCTTCCACACTTCCCTGTCCCAGGAGAGGAACACATCTGAAGCAGATGGGGTTACCTTCAGTTTTTTCTCCTTCTCCAGCGTAATGGAGTTGATGATGTCAAGCTCAATGCAGATAAAGCTGAGCATGAGAAGCAGAGGGAACTCATTCTGAAGGACTAGGAAGAAGTTGTCCTGAATATAGGGTCCATATGGGAATCTCTTCACAAGCACATCGAGACTCTCAAACATGCTGGTCATCGCATCGCGAGCATGGTGCCACATGATGGCTTTATCGATAGCATGCTGTATGGCCAGGAAGCCTTCTTTGTTGTATCCTTCAAGAAAACAGTGGAGATCAAGCATGAGAAATTAAGAAAGACTAAATATGCAAAACAACTGATCATAGCTAGGCATTCACAGAGACAGAAAGTAGTAGAAAAAGCATCCCTATAGTCCACATGCTACAGTATGGAAGAAAGAGGAAAGCCACAATGGAGACCCCTAGGGCTGAGGGTGATGGCATCCGTGATCAGAAAATGGGATGAAGGAGTCCTGGGCAGACAAGACAAGAGATATCCAATACGAGACTCTTCCAACAAAAGTGATTGAAGATTAGGGAGATGTGTTGTTTTAGTCCATTTTGTATTGCTATAACAGAAATACCCGAGACTGGGTGATTTATAAAGAAGAGAGGTTTATTTGGCTTACGATTCTGGGACAGCTGCATCTGACACGGGCCTCAGGCTGCTTCTACTCATGGCAGAAAAGTGGCAGGCAGCCAGTGGGTACAAGCAGATCACATGGTGAGAGGAAGCAAGAGAGCGAGAAGCAAGAGGTGCCAGGGTCCTTTTAACAATCAGGTCTCGCAGAAACAAATAGAGTGAGAACTCACTCACTACCCCTCCTCCCCCAGGGAGAGCATTAATCCATTCATGAGGGATCCACCCCCATGACTCAATCAGTTTCCAACACTGCCACATTGGAGATCAAATTTCCACATGAGTTTTGGAGGGGACAACACATCCAAACTCCATCATGTGTCTATTCCAAAAGAAGAAACAAATTTTCTAAAAGAAAAAGAATAATAATCTTCCAAAGTGGGGCCACATTTTCTCCCACATTACTGAGGCTTCAGTGAAAGGGCACCGTTTTGCACTTTCGATCATACAGCACATACGAGATAATTAAACTCAAAGCGCTTGAAGGACATAGCCTCCCCGACCTGTTGTGGCCTATTTCTGAGTCATTGCTGCTGCCTTAGTCCAAGGGTATGGTCGCTGAATTTTCCTGCCAAGCTTCAAAAACAGTCCTTGCCACAAGCAGCCCTCATTTCAGTACAGCATAGTTGGTGTGCTGGGGTCAGCTTTTGGTAAAAATAGGTGGAAAGGCAAAGATCACTGGTTTTGGTGTCTTCTAAGAAATAATGGTCCCACTTCCAAATGATGGTTACCAGCCCTTCATGTGATAGAACAAGGGCTGGGTACATCAGCCCTGGAGTAGAGGTGACTACGTTCTTCTGATGGCCTAGACCTAGGCAGACCCCTGCACATGTCAGGATGGAAAAGGGAGAGACAAATTGCTGGTAATAAAATCTGGGAACTGTTACATGTTCTCGATTATATATAGGAGTATTTTCACTGCAGACCTGCTGAATCTTTTCTAGCATCACATGAAACTGTAAGTACCTGAACTTGGATTCCCACTTGGAGGGCATAAAGGCCTAAGGCTTCAAGCCAATTGTGTGGTCATTCTACAATGAGGTGCAGATTAGCAGCTTAATTTTCTAAGAATAGTTACTCATCTAGAGGGTGTTCTCCCTAAACCCCTCACAATGAGAGAGACCAAAAAATCAAATGCGAATTGGAGGGCATGAGTCCTTTAAGAGAGGATTGGTTCATGGGCCTTCATTCAGGAACATGGTGCTTATTGTGAAGAACAGAAGATAAACAGATTTTCGTGCTGTCCCATTACTTCTCCAGGACCCTGGTGTTGCCAGAAATGAGAGTTAGAAGCTTCAATGGTACAGGCAGATCCGGGAGCACTGGGCACCAAGTTTGGATGTCTGTTCTGTCAAGTACAGCCAGACCCCTTTCCACAGAAGAGAGTGAACTGATGGAGAGCAGCCACCCAGTGAGGCTCTCCTTCATCCTGACCAGAGGGTGCCAGAGCAGAAGGTCAGCATAGCTTCCCAAGGAGAGAAGTCTGTGGCAGCCTGGGCTCAGGACCCAGCTTTGGGACTACATACCATCCCTTAGAACAAAGAGGACCTCCTGAAAAAACCCCAACCCTCTGGCACTAATTTTTTTGTCCCCTTATCCTGAGCAAGAGAGGGAGGGGGAAGGGGCTTTTCCCAGGCAAGGGATCCAGATAGGGGAACACAGGAGTGGAAATGGGCGTTGTCAACCAAGACTATGAGACCTGAAGAAAAGGGAAGTGGTGTTCTCACCCCCATGGTGGGGGTGGGCCAGGGAGTACAGAGTAAGACTCAAGGCAAGATCTAAGGCATCGGTCAGAGCGAGTGAAATCACAGTGAAGGGCAGCCAATGAATGGGCCGGACAAAGTTCAGAGATCATGCAGACAGGGCTGTAAATACTCCCATGGCAGGAACAGAATCATTAGAGCTGCGCAGGCAAGGAGTCCTGAGACAGTGTGGACAGTGGCCTTCTGCTTCTCCTTTATTAAATTAAATGGGATAGATGAAATGCAAAGGATGTGGAGATAGTAAATGAGGCACATTAGACATTGGTAAAACAAATGGAACGTGTGTTGAACAGGATGTGTGTTTAAAAGGACAGAACAAACAACAGTGGTTCTTAAGGTGGAAAGGGGAGGCCAAGTAAATCTTAAATATTCCTAAAGCACAGATCGTGCTTCCTCCATGATGATGGATATGTCACCCCTAAATGGCCACCCACTGGTGACACCTGTTTTTTTTTCCTTTAAATTTTTATTTTGTCGATATACAATGTGGTTGATTATTATGGCCCATTACCGAAACCTCCCTCCCTCCACCCTCTCCTCCCTCCCACCCAACAATGTCCGTTCCATTTGCTTGTCGTAACAACTTCAAAAAATTGTAGCTGTTGGGCCGGCCCAGTGGAGCACTGCTACAGTGCACCACTTGGGAGCGCAGTGGCGCTCCCGCCGAGGGTTCAGATCCCACATACAGACCGGTTCCCGCTCACTGGCTGAGCGAGGTGTGGGAGCAACACCGAGGGTTGTGATCCCGTTGCCAGTCCCGGTCCAGTACGGGTGCGACACTGAGGGTTGCGATCCGCTGCCGGACACGAAAAAAGACAAAAAAAGGAAAAAAAAAAATTGTAGTTGTTATATCTTCTTCCCCCTCCCCCCTGGTTTTTCTTTTGTGTGTGTGTGAGTGAATTTATTTATTTATTTTTAGCTCCCACCAATAAGTGAGAACATGTGGTATTTCTTTTTCTGTGCCTGACTAGTTTCACTTAATATAATTCTCTCAAGGT